ATTTCACACGAAATACACACGAATACCATTATTCGTGGTACATTTCAACTACCGTGCATCTAAATGAGAATTATATAATTTCCGAAACGACATCTTCCCAGTGAGAAATGATTCGTCGAAACGACGTCGAATCGACATCGACACCATCGACTTGATCTCGATTCGACATCATTTAGACGTCGATCGACGAATCATTTCTTACTGGGTTCCGCGAACGTAAATTTTCGTAGAACAAACGTAATTTCCTTTTCTATTGCGTACGCAGAAATATTTCAGCCGGTATTCGTGTGTGTCGTTCAAACGGGTGTACCTAGTAAACGAAAAGGAGAATAAAACAATCAGTGAAATGGAGTTAAGATAAAAATAATGTATAGAAAATTATATTTACCAGAGGATGACTCCGTGGTCGCCCGATGCCTCCTAAGCCGCCGCCTCCTCTCAGATTCCTCCATTTCACACTGGCACAACGCAACACTCGCGAAAGAGGAGATAATTACGATCGCGTCACGTCACTCCCGGCGTTATTCGTCGCGGACTCTATTGCAACGAGAGCAAGGGACGCGGTCGCGGAAATTGGCGGGAGCTTTTCGGCTAAGAGGACCGCGGGGCTAATCTCACACCACGCTTTTTCCAAGAAGAGACCGAACGCGAGCGTAAACGGGGCATTTCGCGCCAACATTTCTCTCGCCGCGCGTCACGTCACTCCGGCGTTATTCGTCGCGGACTCTATTGCAACGAGAGCAAGAGACGCGGTCGCGGAAATTGGCGGGAAATTTTCGGCTAAGAGGACCGCGGGGCTAATCTCACACCACGCTTTTCCCAAGAAGAGACCGAATGCGAGCGTGAACGGGGCATTTCGCGCGAACATTTCTCTCGCCGCGCGTCACGCGCGAGGAGACACGAACTGAACTTGAAGCTCGGCATATTCGCGACGCGCGACGATACTACGGCGCGGCGGCGCGACGGCGACAGTACAGAAGACCCGGCTCCTCGCGAAATACGCGTCTCGGTGGATCGGCGACGCACGAGAATCACATCAACGCGATTGCGAACTTGAATACACTCACCGCCGTCGTGCGTACCTTCGTGAAATGCGTGGGGACCGGCGGCGCGGGAGAACGATCTTGGACCAACATGGCGTCGCTCGCCAGCGGCATGGCGCGGTGGACACGCGTACTACACGGGTCGCGACGGTCGAGGCAACGACGCGCGACGATCGGACAACACTTTTCATTTCGGCGTCGCTCGCTCGAAGGAACGCGTAAGTTGACATGTTGACGAGAGATCGACACTCACGGTTCTCCTCTGTATTCAATTTACGCGTCGACGGAACAGCAGGCGCGAACGGTAGACGGCGATTCGGCGATCCGCTTCTCGTGTATCAAGTTAAAGCCTCGTCTACACAGAAGTCGTAAAGTCGTAGTCGTAAGAATAGTCGACTATGATTGGTCAATTCTAAAGCCTCCGCTACAATGATTCTCGGTTCTGTCTACAATGGTCGTAGTCGTAAGAATAATCGACTGCGATTGGTCAATTCTTAAGCCTCCGCTACAATGATTCTCGGTTCTGTCTACAATGCGAGTCGCAGAGTCGTAGTCGTAAGAATAATCGACTGCGATTGGTCAATTCTTACTTTGCGACTGCTCAAGCGACCATCGATACAACTGTACGACCATTGTAGACAGAACCGAGAATCATTGTAGCGGAGGCTTTAGTGAACGCTCGAAGAAACGAAGACGATGGTACGTGCGGAATCGAAGAGCTCGATCGGGCAGTCCCGGCGTCGTTTAGTTACGCGGAAAATTATCGCGCACACCGTACTGTGCCATTCATACCGACGGTTCGAATGGCAATGCGACACTCGGTACGCTCGGAACGTTCCGTGACCTCGGCGCGCGGCGGCTCGACGTAAACACTGCCGAGCGGCGGGCGCGCGCGAGCGGGGCAAAAACATCGAAATAGTTTCGACGAAAAGACAATGAAAAACACGCCGTAACTGCTCCGCTGTTTTTCACGGGTAAACGGTCTATCAGTCGGCGTTCTGCCTCGGTGCTGGGCTGTGTGCTCGTCGTCGCGGAGCTGCTCTCGAAAGCGCCGTACGCTCTGTACCTTCGACGCGTGAATTGTGTATAGACGAGAACCGTGAGTGTCGATTTCTCGCCAGCATGTCAACTTACGCGTTCCTTTGAGCGAGCGATGTCGAAGTGTTATCCGATCTCGCGCGTCGGTGTCTCGCATCGTGTAGTACGCGTGCCCACCGCGCCATGCCGCTGGGAAGCGACGCCATGTTGGTCCAAGCGCCGGCACGCAGAGGATCGTTCTCCGGCGGCAACGCGACGGTCACCGCGCATTTCACGAAGGCACGCACGACGGCGGTGAGTGTGATCAGGTTAGCAATCGCGTTGATTTGATGCTCGTGCGTCACCGATCCACCGAGACGCGTATTTTGCGCGAGGAGCCGGATCTTCTGTACCGTCGCGCCGTCGCGCGTCGCGAATATACCGAGCTTTAAGTTCAGTTCGTGTCTCCCC